GCATGAGATTAGGAATCTCTAAACACTGTAGGATACATAAATAAAATATGGAAAATAAAACTAAAGACTGAAAAATTAAATGATGATCCCCGAATCACTTTGCTGTTGTTTGAAGATGATTGAAGATGCCTTGCCAGTTGTTGACCCTAATCTTTAAATATTCCTCAGAAACAACGCCTGGAACCGTCGCTCGAACGGTTGCAACGCCTCATCTCAACCGTCTACTAATTCCTCTTTCCCTGACACGTGTTCTCAACAGTCTTACCAACCGCGTAACCCGACCGACCAAACTACTGCTCTCACTCGATCTCGGCAGCATCTGACCTCCACGGCAGCCAACTCGCTCATCCGACCGCAAACCCTCCGACTTGCTTATCTGACTGCGGATCAACCGACCTGCTTATCCGACCGCGAATCTTCCTACTTACTTATCCGACCTCAAACCAACCGACCTACTTATCCGACCGTGGACCCTCTGACTTGCTTATCCGACTGCGGATCAACGGACCTGCTTGTCCGACCGCGAAACATCCGTCTCGCGAAACGTCCGACTCGTGGACCATCCGACTTGCAGACCATCCGACTTGTGGACTGTCCAACTAGCAGACTGTCCCACCCGCAGACCATCCGACCTGTGGACTGTCCGACTAGCAGACTGTCCCAACCGCAGACCATCCGACCTGCAGACCATCCGACCTGTTGACCATCCGACCTGCGGACCATCCGAGCTGCCTATTTCCTTAGAAAGACGTCCGTTTCACCTGATTATCTTGAAACACCCCTTAATTAATCTAACGGACCCAATTACAGGCCCACATCTCCTTCTAGCTTGGGCCTCTTAACCTAATTATAAAATTCATACGAAACAATTATTATTATTATTATTATTATTATTATTATTATTATTATTATTATTATTTATTATAGTTATTATTTGCACAAATAATTAAACTTCAGATAGTTATACTTGTGATTAAAATAAATTATACTCCCCCCTCCCCAAATACGGTGTCTGCTACACTGTAGACACAGTATTTTAGGAGGGGTGTAATTAGTAGATAATTAAGAATGTATTAGTGAAAATAATTATCCTATAATATAAATAATTATAAATTAAGATTAAGATAACTAATTAGTTTAATTAAAATTAAAAAAAAAAAAAAATTAAAAATTTTAAATGAGATTAAAGTGTGTAATTATTTTTTAAAAAAAAAAAGTGACATGGTATGTGAGACGGACATAAACGGCAACATGGAGATGGTATGTGGGATGGAGGGAGTATATGTTTAACGTTGTACCTACAATAGGTAATAGTTGTACTTGATATTTATTAGGCTTGTATCTGAAGCGAAAAAAATTATTTCTGTTATATAATATATAATAATATATTATAAAGGTAAGTGCAATATATTTGATATATAAATGGGTGTGTCTACGGGTGTAATATATATATAGTATACAAATATATATATATATGTATGTATGTGTATTATTATATTATATAATATGTAATATGTATTTATGTATGTATGAGTCCCTGGAGATAATGAAAAATGTGCTTGATACCATTCCAATGGCGTTTTGTGGGGGATACGCTAAACCTGGCCAGTAGATTTACTGAAAAAGATATATCTGGCCTGGTACAATTTGTAAGGTACATTAATGCGCCAATAGCGTTGAGATATGGTACCTCGGGGCCAAGTATTTCTTCATTTTTTTTCTCTTGGCCTAAATGGATCTTTATTGGGATCAAGGGATCTGACCACCATTGGCGTACTTAGAAAATGAGATTTATCCATATAAAATTGCTTTAATACCTTTTGGGTATATGTGGATTGATGAATAAATTTCCCATTATTAACATGATCCACTTGTAATCCCAAACAATATTTTGTCTTTCCAAAATCTTTGATCTCAAATTCTTTCTTTAAATATTCAACTGCAATTTGGATCTCTTCTGGAGTTCCAATTAAATTGAGATCGTCAACATATATTGCAATAATGACAAAATTTAATCCATTTTTCTTTGGGTAAACTGTTTTTTTAGTCCCGTAATTGGACCCCCTTATCATTTTAGTCCCGTAAGTGGAGCTTGTCGCAAATTAGTCTCATAAGTGAAAAATTTTCGTTGTTTTAGTCCTCCGGCGCCGGAGACGCCCGCGTGGCTCGCCGGAGGTGACGTGTCCGCCAGGTGTCAGCGACACTTGGCGGACACGTGAATTTATTTATTTTATTTATTTTTTTTAATTTTTTAATTTTTTTTAATTGGACCAAATAAAAAAATGCAAATAAAATTAAAAATAAATTTTTTTTAAAAAATAAAATAATGAAATAAAAAATAAAAAAAATCCACGTGTCACTGACCTTGCACGACACCTGGCGGACACGTCACCTCCGGTGAGCCAACGGGCGTCTCCAGCGCCGGAGGACTAAAACAGCGAAAATCTTTCACTTATAGGACTAGTTTGCGACAGGCTCCACTTACGAGACTAAAATGATAACGGGGTCCAATTACGGGACTAAAAAAAACAGTTTACCTTTTTCTTTATAAAGACGCATGGGCATATTGGATCATTAGTATAACCTTCTTTTATTAAACATTTGCTCAGACGGTTATACCACATTCGCCCTGATTGTTTAAGTCCATACAATGACTTTTTCAATTTGATGGAATATGATTCCCTTGGGTTTAATTTGTATGCTTCATGCATATTGAATCCGTTAGGAACTTTCATATAAATATCAGTATCCAATGAGCCATAAAGATATGCAGTAACTACATCCAAAAGACGCATATCGAGCTTTTCTCGCACTGCTAGGCTCATAAGGTATCTAAATGTTATTCCATCAATAACCGGAGAGTATGTTTCATCAAAATCTACTCCAGGTCTTTGTGAGAATCCCTGAGCTACAAGACGGGCTTTATATCTCATAATTTCATTATGCTCATTTGTTTTTTTCGTACAAATACCCATTTGTATCCAACTGGTACCATCTGGTGTTTGAACAATTGGCCCGAAGACCCCTTTTTTGTTTAATGAGTCAAGCTGTAATTGAATCGCATGTTCCCATTTTGGCCAGTCATTTCTTTGCCGACATTCATGAACCGATTTTGGCTCTCGATCCTCGTTTTCTTCCATTATATCAAGTGCTAAACTATATGCGAAGGCATTATCAATAATTGCCTCTTTATGGTTCCAACATTTTCTTGAAGTGACATAGTTAATTGAGTTTTCAATAATCTCATCATGTTCTTCAAGATCGTGCTCTTCTTGAGTAATCCCGCTTTAAGCGTGTCGCTGATTCATTAGCACTTGCAATTTGTCCATCAGGGACAATTATTTTAGCCGGAGCATTAGCAGCTTGGATATATGATCGAGTGACTTTGCTCGAGTCATTGAATGCATCCGGTAACTGATTTGCAATATTTTGCAAATGTATAATGCGTTGAACTTCTAGTTCACACTGTTTTGTACGAGGTTCAAAAAAATTCAATGGAATTTTCCAATTAATATCCCTTTTCAGTTCATTTCTGTCTCCCCCTAATGTCGGAAAATATGATTTGTCAAAATGACAATCTGCCAATCTGGCAGTGAATAAATCACCCGTCATAGGTTCAAGATATTTTATTATTGACGGCGATTCATATCCGACATAAATGCCCAATCTACGTTGAGGACCCATTTTTGTACGTTTGGGAGGTGGAATAGGAACATAAACAGCACACCCAAAAATACGTAGATGAGATATATTTGGTTCGTGACCAAATACTAACTGCATTGGGGAATGGCTATGATAGCTTCTCAGCCTCATTCTTATAAGTGTTCCTGCCTGTAAGATTGCATGCCCCCAAGCTGAAACGGGCAACATAGACCTCATCAATAATGGTCTAGATATCAATTGCAATCTTTTAATAAGTGATTCTACCAAGCCATTTTGTGTATGAACATGAGCAATTGGGTGCTCTACATTAATTCCAATCAACATGCAATAATCATCAAATGCATTCGATGTATATTCACCAGCATTATCCAAACGTATAGTCTTAATTGGATTATCGGGGAATTGTGCCCGTAATTAATAATTTGGGCAAACAATCTTGCAAATGCCATATTGCGAGTAGATAATAAACAGACATGTGACCATCTGGTAGATGCATCAATAAGCACCATAAAATATTTAAATGGCCCACACGGTGGGTCTATTGGTCCATTTATATCCCCGTGTATTCTTTCCAAAAATGTAGGTGATTCAATACCTACTTTAGCTGGCGATGGCCTGGTTATCAATTTTCCCTGAGTGCAGGCAACACAGGTAAACTCATTTGAGTTTAACACTTTTTGACCTTTTAATGAATGGCCATGCGAATTCTCAATTATTCGCCTCATCATTATATTGCCAGGATGCCCAAGGCGATCATGCCATATTCGAAAATCGGTAGTCTTTTGATCTACCGCGAAGTGTGTTTCAACAACACCTAATCTGGCATAATATAAACCAGTAGAGAATGAGGGTAATCTCTCAATGATGCATTTCCTTTTATCAATGATATTGGTGATCAATAAAAATTCACCATCGGCATCACTCATAGTTTCAATGATAACCATTTTTCCGAATGTCATGAAAGTTCAGTAAATTTCTTCGAGCTTTAGTGGCCAACAGTGCATATTGTATCACAATTTTTGTCCCCGCGGGAATAAATATAATGGCTTCTCCAGAGCCTTCAATTAATTTTGCACTGCCACTTATTGTATTGACATTCATTCTTTCCCTTTCCAAATGGGAGAAATATTTTTCGTGTTTCAATATAGTATGTATCGTTGCACTGTCAATGAAACACATATTTGCATCATTTTGTTTGGCATCTATTTATCCTTCAAATATAAATAAACGCAGTATTAATAAAAACAAATATAAGTATTACAAAATGTATTACAAAAAGGTAGTATGCGATAATTTAAATATTACAAAACATAATGTAAAATGACATAATATGTCTATCACTGGGGGTTTGTTGGATCTACGACAAAATCCGCTATATCAAGATGCGTTGTGTCGTAATCCAAAAGATCATCATCGGGGTCGTCATCATTATCAACGTGATTAGTCTCGACCTCCTTCCCCTTATTTTGTAGTGAGGCTTGATAAAGATCGGCTAGGAGTTTGGTTGTTCTGCAGGTATTGGCCCAATGGCCTTCAATGTCACACCGATTACAAATTCCGATTTGCCTCTTTCCCTGTTTAGCCTTTTCGGCTATATCCCCATATTCGGGTTTACTCTGCTTCCTGTTAATGTCAATACCACGGTGATTGTAAGGGGTATATTGACCGTGTTGACTCTCAAGACCACGACCACGGCCTTTACCATATCCTTGGCCTCGTTCATAAAATGTCACGTTTGCTTCAGGGAACGGACTGGAACCAGTGGGCCGGGACTCATGATTTTTCATCAGTAACTCATTATTTTGCTCAGCTAATAAAAGACATGCAATGAGCTGTGAGTACTTTTGAAAAAAAATTTCGCGATACTGGCGTTGCAGCACAACATTAGAAGCATGAAAGGTAAAGAGAGTCTTCTTCAATTTATCATTCTCAGTAAATGATAGTATAAAAATAAAACTTACCAAAAATAAAATAGGCAAGAGCTTTCGTGCTGATAACGTGTTATATAATATATAATAATATATTATAAAGGTAAGCACAATATATTTGATATATAAATGCGTGTGTACGGGTGTAATATATATATGTATGTATGTGTATTATTATATTATGTAATATGTATTATGTATGTATGTATCAGTAATAAATGCAGAGAGATGAAAGTAATAAATCGAGAGAGAGAAGGGGGAAAGGATTTCGTTCTCAATTCATTTCATCATTTGCATACATATAAATCGACAAATGAGACGGTTTATGAATGATTATAAAAGCATCCACGTCTCGTCGACGTAGCTGCTGTGTTTTATAACAATTTCCAATTCAAATATCATTTTCTTAGTTTATTCCAATTGTATTCTATCACACACATACACATATATTTTCAAGGTGCACAAATCAAACAATTATTAAAGTCTTTGTATCGAAAATTATGGCTTGAATAGTTGTACATGCGACAGGAGCAAATTATACTTATGTAAATTTAATATTATACCTGCTATAATATTGTACTTGACCTTTCTTAAATTTTTACTTAAAGTTCAAAAAATTAATACTTCAAATTATAATAATATATTTTGGTTTAGTCCAACCATATTCTATTACACACATACGTATCTATCTCTTTATATATATATCTCCAATGTGCACAATTCCAATATTTGCATCACAAAATTAAGTCCAAAAAAGTTTTAGTTTGTTAATATTGAGGGTGTTTGGAAAACCGTTTTTTGAATAGCTTTTAACTTATTGAACAGTTTTTAGCTGTTTGTCCAGTCAAAAAATTAATTTAGGTGTTTGGTAAATTAGTTTTTTGAAAGAGTTTTTTGGATCCAAAAAGCTAATTTCTGAAAAGCTTATCTATCCAGTATTTTGAAAGAGCTTTCATTTTAATTTTGGTTATTTCTTATTTACCCTTAAAACTTAATTATTTGTTTTATACATAGAAATATATTTTTATAGCAGTATTTATTAATTATTTTTAATATATTTAATTTATTAAATTATATTTTTATCTTTTAAAGTTTAAAATAATTACTATTATTAATTATTACATATAAATTATTTTATTTGTAAAATATATAAATTTTTTAAAACTAAATCAAATAGAAAAAATAAAGGTTATTAATTTATTTATATATATTAAAGCAATAATTAACATAATAATAATATATATAAGAAAGATTTATTATTTTATATTTTACATCATTTCAATAAAAAATTATTATTTATTATTTTATATTTTACATAATTTCAATAAAAAATTATTATTTTTTAGTAAAAATAATTTTCTCAAATCTAATTAATAAAAATAAAAATAAATATTTTATAATATTTTTATAATTTTCAATAATTTAATAACAAAAATTCTCATAAATTTCAAACCAAAATGAACAAAATTAAATATTTTAAAAATAACATATCAATGTCCATAATAGTCATTTTATGTATAAACAGCTAATGTCAAATAGTTGTTTTACCAAACACTTTAATACAAACCGCTAATTGAATCAGCTAGTCAAACCAACTAATTGAATAAGCTAACAGCTAAAAGCTATCAGCTAATTGCCAAACGCAACCATTGTGTTTAAAAATTTTAATTATAAGGGAATATTATAAAAAATGCACCGTATGTATGTCCAAGTATCATTTTCGAATAATGTTTTCTACTTTCGTATTTTAAGACATTATGTGTACTCCGAGTATTATTTTTGTCCTCTGGCCCGGAAAAACGCACGTGACCGTCACATGCCCTTTGTCGCATTCCCGGTGCAGACATGGACATTACCGTTGTTGTATTGTCTGCTGCGTGGACGTCAATTGAGTGCTGTGGAATTTTTATTTTATTTAAAAAAATAAATATAAAAACTAATTTTTTTTTTTTAAAAATATTAATTTGGCCTGATTGGACCAAATTAAAAATTAAACCATAGAACATACACAACCATTCGGTAATCAAATTCCTCATTCTTCTACCCATCATATGAAATTTATTCCTCCCAAACCAAACCCACCCATCTCGATTTTGAATCAAACAAATTATTCCTCCCTATCGCATGTCGTCCCTGCCATCGCTTGCCGGTGCGATATTGGCGAATTTCCAACAAAGTTCAAGTGAGTTTAAAATTTTGAAATAATTCAGTTTTTTTTAGTTCACAATTAATTTTTGTTGTGAAATTCCGCTTCACTCATGGAGTTTAGAACAATATTTTGTTGTGAAATTTTGTACATTTTTTTAGTAGTTTAGAATGAGTTTTGTTGGTACAATTTTGTGTGTAATTAAAAATATGAATGAGCGAAGGCGGGATTTCGCCATTGGCATCTTCGGATTTGGAGTGCCACTGCTGAATAAAAGTTGTAATGTACATTTCGTGGACTATGGATAATCCCAGAAGAAGGTTCAATTGTTGTTCCAAATCAAAGATATCAAATTTTGTGAACCATTGTAGCTTGGATATTACAAACACTCATTGTTGTTTGTTTGTCAAACATGTAGAGAGGAACACAATTGGGGTGTGGTTTTTTTCGATAGGAAGATCCACCAATGTGCAATTGAGCGAAAGCAGTTATCCGAGCTTATTAAAGAAGTTGAATGCTTGGGATGATGAAATTAAGCTATTGAAGCAATAAGTTTCAAATATTAACGATGAAGATACTAAAATGAGTTCACTGAAACAAGAAGTTAGAAAAGTAAAATCAAAATTGACAATTGTTGTATGTTATGTTGTTGTTTTACATATATGGATGATAGAAAATGTAGATGATCGTATCGTGTTACTGTTGGATGTTTGTATTTTCAAGTTGTTGTAATACTAATATTGTTAACATTGATTGTTTATAATGATAAGCAATTCCAGTTCTAGTAGTAACATCGTTAATTACAAAACAAATATTGTCCCGAGCAACATTATAAATATTATCTCGAGCAACATTACATGGCACAACACACAAAATAAATAATAACAATGGTCCTATGTCAAAAGATAGTTGCCAGTTCGACATAGTTTAACTTCGGACAACATAATCACATATACGGCATGACGTACAAAAGACAAAAAGCTATCTCAAAAAGTCATAGCAACTAGGCACAATTCATAGTCAAAGACGAAAAACAGAACACCGATCAATCCAGTAACGCACACACAAATTTTAAAATACATCTATTTGATTTTTATTTTAATTGCATGAGTTGTGGTTAACCCCCTCCATAAACCATGACGCTTCTCAAAATCTCAGCTTTTTGGATTAGTTTTGACAGTTCTTGCTGACGGATATCACTAGAAGCTCGTAGAAGGGAACATTTTCGTACTTATCTGGGTTTGACGCAATGGGTTCTCGAGACAATTTCAATTGCTCGAACATTGATAGTGGTTTATGAACTGTATTTTCAACCCATCCTGCTTGTTTATTCTCCTGTGTGCAAACCGAAGTTATGAACCAATTGAGGTTAGATAACAAAATAAGGCATGATTGTAAGAGATATATAACATCCCGCACGTCTAGTTGTTGGTTTACACCCGAAGGTAACTGAATCTCCTTATCTCTGTTTCTTGTCTGTGGAAGAAATAAGAAAGTTTGATTTGAAGGCAACGCAAAGACATGAGAGGTGTAGAATACTAAATAGATCAAACTCACGCTTCGTCTTGGTGGCAGTGTAATGAGCAGTGCTCATCGAGGTTCTGTCTTGCCTTTAGAAAACTATAGAAGCGTAACTAAAATGTCAAGTAATGTGTGCGGACATTCAATCTCCAAGGATTCAAATGCCCGTGGGACCCATCACTTAAAGCCGAGCTCATCAGTTTCAAGAATCCATCACTGTATTAACTCAAAATTCTTTTGTGGAGAATCAATTTAAGGATGATGTTTGGAGACCACTTAGCTCTCACTTGACACTACTCCAATGGGACCCGCAAGAATCAAAATTAAAAGATTAAGAAAATCGCTAATTATGGAAGATTATCCAGCAAAGTGCTAATAGAAGATTATTAAAAGAAAGATGACATGGACCGACCGTGTCATCTGGTATCAAAGTCTTGCACTCAAGTTTTCTATCAACTTGAGTCATCCTTAGTTGAGTTTGTTCAAAAAGACTAAAAATAACAACAATTATTTTGTATTATTTGTCAACCATCTCGTTCTCTATAAGCTTTTCTTTCTCCACTTTATTTTAGATTTTTTTTCGCTATGATCTTTGGAAAATTGAGTCTTTTTGTGAGCCGTAAAGTCGATGAATATCGTATTAAGGAGAACAAGAGTACTTTTTATGAAGGGGAATGATGCGGCTGTCTAAGCTCAAAAAACATAAAATATTTTTGAAGACAGACTTGATTGACATTACAATTCTTTTGTATCTGACTCAAAGATCACTTAGCCGAGTCATCCCGGACCAGGATCACAAGAACCGGGACTTTAAGATTAAGACAACAAATATTTATGGATAAATCTCAAAGTTACCTTATTATATATTATCTTTTATTGTAAGTTTTCTTATTTCATGTTTAGAGTTTCCTTATTATTTGTTTCCTTATGTAGGTATTTCTTTCTTTAGAGTTTCTTTTACTTTGATTCCTTTTATTGAATATTTCTTTTTATTTCTTTACTTGTGCCTCTATAGAAGGCCTTTCATATCATTCATATCATTGTAATAGAGTAGTGTGAATTTTGAATAAAATTTCTTTATTGTTTTCTCTCAATATTTTTCTAGTGCTACCTATTTACCTTTGCTCTGAATACATTTGTTTTTTACTATATTTCCATAAATCTACTAGATGAGGATAACATTGTACTTATT